AGTACGGAACCGAACGGAACCGAACCGACCCGAACCGAACCGAACGGAACCGAACCCGAACGGTTCCATAATTATATTTGGACCCGACGGGTCCATTTATTAAATACCCGAAAGTTTTGGGTCGGTTCGGGTATCTTCAGAACCGAACCGAACCGACCCACGGACAGCCCTAGGGAAAATATCTAGTCCCTGTCCTATGAGATAACTATCTTGACTTTTATTTTTAACGTTCAAATTTAAATTTTATTTTGAAAATAAATAAGTAAAGGAGAATACGGCATTGAAAATGGGATAATTTAATCAATTTTGTTAAATGTACAGTCCCCCTTCACAGAGAGTTTCACGGTCCTCTCACTCGTGGATGGGCTACCACCTCCATGTGAGTGGACTGTGAAGGAGACTGTAAGTGTAGCATTGTTCTAATTTAATCTCGTCTTGCTACCCTAAATTTCCCGGCATGACCATTGCCACGCCTGAACAAACCACGTCAAGAAAAATATTGTCGTATCACATGACGATTTCTCTATAGATGTTGCAATCAATTGAATGCAATTTAATTCTAAATTTATTAAAGACAAGATTTTTACTACTGTAATCAATTTGAAAAGAAAGTTGACACACTTTCTATTATCTGTATCTATAGTCTTAAAGTTTCATTTTATAGGTCGACAACTTGTTAAGATGAATGGCATATGCATATCATTACATATTGGTTATTGTTTTCGATTCATATTTATGTAGTGTAGAATAATATGCCTTCATATGATGATAGATTATTTGAAACCTCAATCTTGAAATTCAATAGTTTGTTTGAACTTTAGATCGAAATTCTAGTTTGAGCTCCTTGAACTCTGATACCATACAGTGGCGTGGTTACATCGTTAAACATCAACGTCAATCTTATTAGAATAAGTTATCCAAGCATTAAAATTTTCATATTTAAGCGATATGGGATCCAATCAAATATGATTTTGTTTCTACATATAGAAGGTTTTGTGCATGTATTTTGTTAAATTACTAACACTTGCACTACAAAATTTTTAACCTCTAGCTTGAACAGAAGATTAAGCTTCTTGATTAGCCACAGATGGTTCATTCACTAAAATAAGAATTCTGCTTTCTTTCTTGGATTCTTCTCCTTCAACTCCATTTTGGTCCTGACTCTTAACTGATATTGCTTGTAGATTAAGCCTCTATTTGGTTAAGATAAAAATCAGATTTTTAGTAAATTTTAATAAAAGTTGATCAAATTTGTGATTGAAAAGTCGATAAAAATTTTGGGCCCATGAAATGTATGATCGAAAATTAGATTGAGGAAAATGAGTTTTAAAGTAAAGATTTTAGGTTTTTCAAGTAGATTTTCAGGTTCTTGACTCGCAGATAAGGAGAATG